AATAGCCGTCGTTTCGGGTCAAATGCATGCAAACGGCCTAGAGAGCACTAAAACCGTGACCAACAGAGGTGTGGCGACACAGAGAATAGAGCTCTCTACCTTTCCTGAGGCACAGAGACAACACAAAGAGTGCTTACCCCCCTCCCGACTAAACCCATTGACCGACCAAAATTGCCTTCCAACAAAGGGATGATCGCTAATGAGTGCGACCCTCTGGAGCTCTGTCTTCCCCCGTGCTCGATGTTTACAGGTGTTCAGGTCAGGCTTGAGCTCGTTCTCGGGCTAGTTTATGAAGATGAAACAGCAAGCAAGTCTTTTGATCGCGGCCTCCTCATCGCCAGAGCAAACTCGTAGTCCGGGATTCGAGGCTTGCTCTTGCTGTGGTTTAGGAGGAGAAATGAGTGGGCATTACAGCTGTGGAGTTTAAAATGAGGATTATCCTGGTTGTGGGAGGGGGGGCGGGGGGTTATGTGTGCGTGTCTTGAAAGGGAGTAAGCGAGTGCATGGTTGTGTTGAGTCTGTGTTTTCAGGTTATTATTTTTCTGCTTACAAAAGTTGTGTACTCTGATGTGAGCAGTATAGATAGATATTTATGGAGGTGACGACAGGGACGCGATAGTGTTTAAGCTACGGCCTGTAGTGAGGTGTTGGGGGGGGGGGGTTAAGCTCCTATATAGGCTTATGTTCTCGTGTTCTATTTTATCTTCATTTTATAAACTCCTAATTTTTACGGGCTATTCATGCCCGTGCCACCTCTTGCGTGGCTTAATCTTCATCAATCAATCGACTCCTTATCTATATTGTCTCTTCCCCTCTCAGCATCTCGTATATAGTGATCACGTTCCCTCTGTTCCTTCTCTCCTTTAGGGGTGTGGTCGAGATTCAGTTCCTTTAACTTGCCCTCGTAGCTTAGTCCTATTTATTCAGGTTCTCGTTTTGTTGCAAATCTTTGCACGTTCTCCAGTTTAGTTTCATAAGGTGGGGAGATTCCATGCCAGTGTTGCATATTCTAGAACAGGTCTCACAAAGGCTGTATATATTTTCTTGAGATAATATGTATTAATAATTTTAAATGATTGCCGGCGTCACATATACTGCTGATGGTATTCTATTTATATGTGCCTCGATTGACGTTAGCAACGGAATTATTTATTCTCAAATATAATTTTCTCTTGGTAGTTGAGTACTGGTGGTGGTGGTAGAGTACTGGTGGTAGTGGTAGAGTACAGGTGGTAGTGGTAGAGTACTGGTGGTGGTGGTAGTGGAAGAGTTGTGATGTTAATTGATGAATGGTGGTAGTATGAATAGCGTGGTGCCAATAGCCATGGGGAGGGGGGGGGGGGGGGGGGTTGGTTGCCGTGCCAGTAATCGTACAGTCAAAAGTTTTAAGGGCACGCTTTCCCTCTCATAATTGGCACGAAGGGCAACTACCCTCCGGCCAGCTTAAGCACGCCCAGAATATTGGTCACTCCAAGTTTATTGTTAAATATTGTTTAATACTCTATTGCTAGTCAGTTGTGTTATAGTTGTGGTGTGGCATCAAGCTGGGGGGGGGGGGGGGGTGGTGAGCGGTGGTTGTGTCAAGCTGGGGGGGGGTGTCAACCTGGGGGGGGGTGAGGGGTGGTTGTGTCAACCTGGGGGGGGTGAGGTGGTTGTGTCAAGCTGGGGGGGGGGTGAGGGGTGATTGTGTCAAGCTGGGGGGGGGATGAGGGGTGGTTATGTCAACCTGGGGGGGGGTTAGGTGGTTGTGTCAAGCTGGGGGGGGGGGCTCAGGGGTGATTGTGTCAAGCTGGGGGGGATGAGGGGTGGTTGTGTCAAGCTGTGGGGGGTGAGGGGTGGTTGTGTCAAGCTGTGGGGGGGGGGAGGGGTGATTGTGTCAACCTGGGGGGGGGGGTGAGGGGTGGTTGTGTCAACCTGGGGGGGTGAGGTGGTTGTGTCAACCTGGGGGGGTGAGGGGTGATTGTGTCAAGCTGGGAGGGATGAGGGGTGGTTGTGTCAAGCTGTGGGGGATGAGGGGTGGTTGTGTCAAGCGGTGGGGGGGGGGAGGGGTGGTTGTGTCAAGCTGTGGGGGGGGGGGAGGGGTGGTTGTGTCAAGCTGTGGGGGGGAGGGGTGGTTGTGTCAAGCTGGGGGGGGGTGAGGGGTGGTTGTGTCAAGCTGTGGGGGGGATGAGGGGTGGTTGTGTCAAGCTGAAGGGGGTGAGGGGTGGTTGTGTCAAGCTGTGGGGGGGAGGGGTGGTTGTGTCAAGCTGTGGGGGGGAGGGGTGGTTGTGTCAAGCTGTGGGGGGTGAGGGGTGGTTGTGTCAAGCTGGGGGGGTGAGGGGTGGTTGTGTCAAGCTGGGGGGGGTGAGGGGTGGTTGTGTCAAACTGTGGGGGGTGAGGGGAGGTTGTGTCAAGCTGGGGGGGTGAGGGGTGGTTGTGTCAAGCTGGGGGGGGGGTGAGGGGTGGTTGTGTCAAACTGTGGGGGGTGAGGGGAGGTTGTGTCAAGCTGGGGAGGGGTGAGGGGTGGTTGTATCAAGCTGGGGGGTGGGGTGAGGGGTGGTTGTGTCAAGCTGGGGGGGGGGTGAGGGATGGTTGTGTCAATCTGGGGGGGGGTGAGGGGAGGTTGTGTCAAGCTGGGGGGGGGGTGAGGGGTGGTTGTATCAAGCTGGGTTGTGGGGTGAGGGGTGGTTGTGTCAAGCTGGGGGGGGGTGAGGGATGGTTGTGTCAAGCTGGGGGGGTGAGGGGTGGTTGTGTCAAGCTGGGGGGGGTGAGGGATGGTTGTGTCAAGCTGGGGGGGGGGGTGAGGGATGGTTGTGTCAAGCTGGGGGGGGGGGTGAGGGATGGTTGTGTCAAGCTGGGGGGGGTGAGGGATGGTTGTGTCAAGCTGGGGGGGGTGAGGGGAGGTTGTGTCAAGCTGGGGGGGGGGGGGTGAGGGGTGGTTGTATCAAGCTGGTGGGTGGGGTGAGGGGTGGTTGTGTCAAGCTGGGGGGGGTGAGGGGTGGTTGTGTCAAGCTGGGGGGGGTGAGGGAGGGATGGTTGTGTCAAGCTGGGGGGGGTGAGGGATGGTTGTGTCAAGCTGGGGGGGGGGGTGAGGGATGGTTGTGTCAAGCTGGGGGGGGGGGTGAGGGATGGTTGTGTCAAGCTGGGGGGGGTGAGGGATGGTTGTGTCAAGCTGGGGGGGGGTGAGGGATGGTTGTGTCAAGCTGGGGGGGGGTGAGGGATGGTTGTGTCAAGCTGGGGGGGGGGTGAGGGATGGTTGTGTCAAGCTGGGGGGGGGTGAGGGATGGTTGTGTCAAGCTGGGGGGGGGGTGAGGGATGGTTGTGTCAAGCTGGGGGGGGGTGAGGGATGGTTGTGTCAAGCTGGGGGGGGGGTGAGGGATGGTTGTGTCAAGCTGGGGGGGGGGGTGAGGGATGGTTGTGTCAAGCTGGGGGGGGGGGGTGAGGGATGGTTGTGTCAAGCTGGGGGGGGGGGGAGGGTGAGGGATGGTTGTGTCAAGCTGGGGGGGGGGAGGGATGGTTGTGTCAAGCTGGGGGGGGGGGGGGGGGGTGAGGGATGGTTGTGTCAAGCTGGGGGGGGGGTGAGGGATGGTTGTGTCAAGCTGGGGGGGGGTGAGGGATGGTTGTGTCAAGCTGGGGGGGGGGTGAGGGATGGTTGTGTCAAGCTGGGGGGGGGGTGAGGGATGGTTGTGTCAAGCTGGGGGGGGTGAGGGATGGTTGTGTCAAGCTGGGGGGGGGGGTGAGGGATGGTTGTGTCAAGCTGGGGGGGGGGGTGAGGGATGGTTGTGTCAAGCTGGGGGGGGGGGTGAGGGATGGTTGTGTCAAGCTGGGGGGGGGTGAGGGATGGTTGTGTCAAGCTGGGGGGGTGAGGGATGGTTGTGTCAAGCTGGGGGGGGGTGAGGGGTGGTTGTGTCAAGCTGGGGGGGGGGTGAGGGATGGTTGTGTCAAGCTGGGGGGGGGGGGGGTGAGGGGTGGTTGTGTCAAGCTGGGGGGGGTGAGGGGTGGTTGTGTCAAGCTATTATATAATTTAGATCCATTTTTGATTGATCAGTTAAAGGATCAGTGATACACATTTGTCTCACTAATTCATTGTTAATATCTACTATCTTATGCTGTTAATACCCATGTGTGGGCCTAATGGCCCATCCTGGTTTGTGCCTCTCCAGGATGCAAAGTAAAACTATGTGTAAAATCCTGGTTTGTGCCTCGGAGACCCTACGGGATCCAGTAAGTTCAGTAGAACTTCGGTTTCAACTCTTTTACCCTGTCTTGGCTCAGTCGATTAAGGCAGTGTCTGGAATGCTCCCGGACGCAGGTTCGAATCCTTGTCACGGCCCTTGTGGCTTTGTTCATTTGATGCATCACGTTAGTGTGATCTCTGTGTGCAGTGTCAGTTATCTGTTACTAACAACTAACAAATATTTTTCTTCACACACACGCAATCAGGAAGCAGCCCGTAACAGCTGTCTAACTCCCAGGTACCTATTTACTGCTAGGTAACAGGGGCATCAGGGTGAAAGAAACTCTGGCCATTTTGTTTCTGCCACCAGCCGGGATCGAACCCGGACCCTAGGATTACGAGTCCAGAGCGCTGTCTACTCAGCTATCAACCCAGCTATCAACCCCCCCCCCCTTGATGTGTGTGTGCGTGCGTGCATATATACATATATGCAGACGATGAGTCACAATAACGAGGCTGAAGATATGATGACCAAACCACACGCCAGAAAGTCAAGAAACGACGAAGTTTCGGTCCGGTTTCGACGACGACTTAAACGCTCAAACCTTCTTAACCAACGTGATCTGTCTTAAGCTTGGGCCCTGTTTCTTATCTCTATACATCTGTCTTATTCTTACATTTTCTTATATTTTTACCTTTACTCTTACCTTACTCATATATATATATATATATATATATATATATATATATATATATATATATATATATATATATATATATATATATATATATATATATATATAAACGGACACATAGTTTAGTTCCATTAGTGTTTCCTCGTCAATCGTACGTCTCAATTCTGGGACTATTCTGGTGGCATGCCTCTGGGCTATCTTAAACTTCGTTTTGTGTTTAACACGGTAAGGACTTCATGCTGGTGCCGCAAATTCCAGGATTGGTCTGATGTATGTGTTAGGCAAGGTCTTGAAAGAACTTTTATTCCACATTTCTTAAAGTTATTTCTTATGTAGGCCAACCTAGCATACGCTGCTGCTGCTGATGCCCATCTTATTTTGGATCGAGAGACAGGATCTGTATAATATTAACTCTTGGGTCCTTTGTCCTGGTTCTGGGAGGATTGCATATCTAGTTCCGTACTTTGTGTCTGTCTGTTCCCAGTGCCTATTTTTATCACAGCGTCTGGGATGCCCTCGGACGTAGGTTCGAACCCTCGTCACGGCCCTTGTGGATTTGTTCCTATTTTTATCACTTTGCACTTGTTTGAGGTAAACTCTAAGAGTCATTTGTTGGACATACTTGCAGTTTATTCAGGTCATTTTATAGTTTCCTATGAGTGTGTTCGTTTGATAAGTGCTAACCTCAACATTTTAATATATTCAAACATATATATGCATGCATGTCGACCGCTTTACACACACACACTCACAAGCACAAGCACAATTAGGTGAGTACACATGCATATGTATATAAATATATATTATAAAGGAACTGAAGAAATGGTGTGTTGAGGCTTGTAAAGGCGAGCGTGGCGTGTGAGGCACATCATGTGTCGTGAGGCAGACGTAGGGCTTTCCTTCCCTAGTCAAACACACTCGCTGTCACATGACGCCGTAATAACTACTCCATCAGATAGCAGTGTAGCGATTTCCTGCGTAAATTGCCGAGGGAAGCGGTTTTGCAGGTCGTGTGAATCTTATTCCAATATGGATCTCTGAAATATACAGGATTACGGAATATTTCCCTGACTGTACCTTGCACTAATGGTTTTATTTAGATAAGAAGTTGAGGCTTTCTTCCAGCCAAGATCCTGGTCGATCTTAATCAAGAGATTTTCTGAGCTGTATGATTACACATAATCCAAGAAGCGTTGATTGACTTGTGTCACTAGTACTCACCTAGTTGTATTTGCGGGAGGATGAGTCACGGCTATTGGGTCCCGCCTCTCGGCCTTTATCGTCTGGTGAGTACAGGTTCCAGAGCCTTGGGTCATACCTGCATTTTGTCACCTGGGGGAAGGCTGGGAGTGGGGAGAGATGTTAATTATTAATTTCTCTCTCTTTTTTTTAAGTGCAGCATGTCGTTTTGTAGGGTAGTTATGGGTGTTGTCTATTAGTGCACCAGCTGAAGATAACTCGCTTTACGGGCTCACTATAGCCCGTGCTACATTGGCATTTCGTTCTGAGTAGCTAAATCTAAAACAACAACAACGATAACTGGCTAGAGTGTTTGTATCGTGTATAAACTGTGAGCAGCAACTTGGTCATGATCTCTTAGTTACTGATGGTCCAAGTCCCTCATTAGACCCTTTACACCTGCCGGTATGAGGTACTTGGAGCTTTATCCAATTTATCCACTCTAGTGTTCTTGACGATCTCCTCATAATGCAAAGTTTGTCAGTGCATACTACTGGTCACATTACCCTGCATGACTAACCATCCTGCAGATGGAAACTTTTGCTATCACATAACAAGCTCTTAACACAAACAGTAGCCTAACCAACCTAACCTAACCTAGCCCTTTATATGCAGCTGATGAGTCACAATAACGTGGCTAAAGTATGTTGACCAGACCACACACTAGAAGGTGAAGGGACGACGACGTTTCGGTCCGTCCTGGACCATTCTCAAGTCGATTGTGATCGAGTTGAGAATGGGTCGATAGGGCCGATAAAGGGTCGATAATCCTTTATATAGTCTAGGGTAGACTGCATCAATGACTAGTTATGGACAAAAAATTAACCTAAAGCAATTATTTGAGTAAGGAGAGGTGCTATTGCTGATTGTGGGATTATAATGTCGTTTGCTTTACTACAACTCATTTGGATAATGCTGAGGAAGATACTTCTTACAGGATGTTTAATATAATTTATCTTTGTCTTTGTTTATGTTATACTGGCGCTGGTAGGCTCAGATGTGATTACCAAGCCTCTTTTATCTTGTTGATGTAAACTATGTTTCTCCAAGTGGTAATATTGATGGTGGATCTGCTGCTTCACCTCACTTGTTGACCAAACTTGGGTTGTTGGGGCAAAGTTTGTTGCTGCCGCGGACGTTTGTGTGGGTGGCGTTGGATACCTGTCACTCTCTTGCTATGGTCTACATGCACGTGCACACGCGTGCGGGTATACACACACACAAAACAGAAAGACCGGGGGGTTGATATCACGGCAGACCTGTCCCCCGAAGCCCACATCAAGAGGATAACATCAGCGGCATATGCCAAGTTGGCTAACATAAGAACGGCCAATAGAAACTTGTGTAAGGAATCATTCAGAACCTTGTATACCGTGCATGCCAGACCAATCCTGGAGTATGCAGCTCCAGCATGGAGTCCATATCTTGTAAAGCATAAAACTAAATTGGAGAAAGTTTAGAGGTTTGCCACCAGACTAGTACCCGAACTGAGGGGCATGAACTATTGAGGAAAGACTACGGGAATTAAACATCACGACGCTGGAAGACGAGAGTTAAGAGGGGACATGATCACCACATACAAGATTATCAAAGGAATTGATAGGGTAGATAAAGACAGTTTATTTAACACAAGTGGCATACGCACTATGGGACACAGGTGGAAATTGAGTACCCAAATGAGCCATAGAGACATTAGAAAGAATTTTGTTAGTGTCAGAGTAGTTAATAAATGGGATGCATTACGGTAGTGATGTGATGGAGGTAAACTCCATACACAGTTTCAAGTGTAGATATGATAGAGCCCAGAAGGCTCAGTAACCTGTACACTTGTTGATTGCAGGTTGAGGCGGGACCAGAGAGCCGAAACTCAACCCCCGTAAGGGTAACTAGGTGAGCACACAAACACACCTTTCCTGCATATTCAGGTACCCTGATAAATACCCAAACACTCAGCTGTCATGACACCTAATCCAGGAGCCGAAGCCCAACACCATCAAGCACGCCTACGTGAGTACAGCTATTACACCCCAATTGTCATAATCACCTTAACCAGGATTTATCAAACCCATAAGTGTCACGAAATCTCTAGATCTTTCCGCAAGGAAATTATTTTGCATTTATTTAACAGTTTAAGCGCTCACTAACGCCAATCTGTTATCAGTACCGATGGAGAATGACAACGCAGCGTTTCCAAGCAGCCATGATCGAGAAAAGATGTACAGGTTTCGTAAGCAGACACGCAAGTGCTTGGTGAATCTCGGCCCCGGTTCCTGAGCCTGATAACGTATCTGTGGCGTCACTTGTTGAGTGGATTCTTGCAAGGCGTGTGTGATGTCACTTGCTATCACCTGGTAGCGTATCAGTGATGTCTTTTGCTATGGCATGATAGCATATGAATGACGTCACTGTTATCTTGTTGCAGCGTATGTGACGTCACGAGTTATCTGCATCTTTAGCCGAGGTCATCAATGTACGTCTACATGTTCAAGCAGTCTATTAATACCATCAGTTCTGGGCGTGAGCTTCATGATGACACATGTTCTATGTAGTGCTCCTCATGTCCTCACATATAGTGCCCTTCATGTATGTCCTCACATATAGTGCCCTTCATGTATGTCCTCACATATAGTGCCCTTCATGTATGTCCTCACATATAGTGCCCTTCATGTATGTCTTCACATATAGTGCCCCACCTCATGTTTGTCCTCACATATAGTGCCCCCTCATGTATGTCTTCACATGTAGTGCTGGTAAGACAAGTACACATTGTGAGGTCCTGCAGCTGTCTTGGGGTAAGACCAACACCCACCCTACTTACACTACCCACAACCTTATGAACCCAACAACCACCACCCACATTTCTTACGAATTTTATAACATCCTCTTTCCTCTCTCCCTTCACTTTTTCCTGGTTTTAAATCGTCGTGTATACGCATTGAGTGAGTGAGACGATATATTCGTGCGTATTTACATCTGTTAATGTGACACTGGACGATATATGACTCGTTTTACAGTGTTCACGCTTCCGGTAATAACACGAAGCGCCTGCAAATTGTCAGCTAAATTTGACTCAATTTTATGCCGAAAATGTAAGATTGATTTAGTCTGCCAGAATTGCAATGACTTGTATAAGTTATTACGAGTAAAGTTACTAATTCAAATAATCATTTTGTCGTGTTTCACTTTCATTGGGTGAGAGCATGAAGCACGAGGAAGGTGCAGTTTTGGCCTTGTTGGGGCTAGCTTGAGACTGGGTTAGTGTAGGGTTCATATTTACGGTAACATTCCCTGTCCTAAAGTTTGTGTCAGAAAGGTACTTAATATTTTCAGTGGTGCACGATGCTGTACACCACCGTCGCATCAGCCTGTCCTCCTAAGGTTCCCCAACGTCAAGAAAACGGTCAATGTAAACTGTCGTCTCTTAACCTACCAGAGGACCCAAAACAGAAAACTGGACAGTACGTCACTTTCGCCAGCCGCTTCCATTTTTTAGTACGACATTTCTTGGCCTTACGTAACGCATACGAGCGAAATGCGACGTTCTGTACACACAGAAATCACAATAGCGCGATGCATCAAATAAACAAATCACGGCCCTTGTGGATTTGTTCATTTGCGACGTTCTTTGTAAGAGGACAAGTTGGTTGCACAGCACATGGCTGCTGTGCAACAAGATGTGTTGTTGTCACCACTAACAGGACCACAGCGTCACAGTGTATCGTTAACATCCGGTAAATCACAGACATTCAGTATAAAGAGAGAGAGGCGGTCATATTATCAGAGTGTGAAGTGTTGGATGACGGGGGCTGCTCCCGTCACTGTTATGTCTGGGAGAGCTCACCAGCCTCTGTATCACTCAGGCGCCACCATACCCTTCAGCACTGTGTCACGTGTTGGGTGGGGTCAGTGTCGCTGGCTGCCGCATATGTTTCAGGTGTTAGCACCATCGTTGAAGAACATGGTATTGAAGGCCAGATACTAAGTTGGATAAAGTCATGGTTAAAAGACGGGTAACAGAGAGTAAGTTTAAGTGTAGAGCCTTTGGAGACCATCAACTGATCAACACTGATCAACAGCCTGGTTGATCAGTCCAGCAACCAGAAGGCCTGGTCGACGACAGGGCCGTGGGGACACTGAGCCCCGGAAGCACCTCAAGGTAACCATTAACGTGGACCTTGGACCACTACGTTTTCATAATGTAATTAAATATCTTTATTTTGGAGTAGGTGAATTTGCAAGCGATACAAAAGAAAGGAACATTATAAATTGAAGATTGCGTAAGTGTACGAAGGTCTCATCGATGAAAAATTCATGAATATATATATATATATATATATATATATATATATATATATATATATATATATATATATATATATATATATATATATATATATATATATATGAAATATATGAAAATGGAAAGAATGCGACGTTAGCTATCAGCTCAGTATCGTGGATGATTGTGAATTCATCTGTGAAATGCATCTTAGAGTTGTCGCTATTAGTGCAGACCTAGAACGAAGACCAGTAGGATACTTTAGCTTGATATCTAATAGTGCTGGCAGTGAGAATATTGCTGTTATCGTGCAGCTTTACCTTGCACTAGTGGGACTATTTGTGAAGATATATATTGGAGAGTCTTAAAGTTACATCCATGCTTTTGCAGGCGTGAAGCAAGAGATGTGACGCTGGAGTATATAAATAGATATTACAATAGGAATCTAAACAAGTATTGAAATTATCAAATGGAAATAGTACTCGAATAACGGATTCAAGATATACACATTTAGAATAAACAAATATAGCTAAACAGTGATTCGGTAATACATCTGTTGACGAGAGGCAACGAACTAACACTTTAGAAATTACTAACAATAGGATAGACAAATCAAGTAGATTTGCCTCTGATGGGTCAGTACGCCTATTGCAGTATTTGTCTCCCTCGAGGCTGGTAGGCCTGCTCCAGTGTCCCTGCCTCTCATGAGCCAGTAGGCCTACTTCAGTGTTCTTGTATCATGCAAGGCAATTATGTTGGACGGGGTCAGTGTGACTGTGGTTCCTACACATACTAGACGTGTATCACATATAAGGTCACTGTGTTGCCCAAACAGTTGAGGTCATGCAGGCGGCCTACTGCCCTCCCAGCCACTGAAGCGGGTCTGTGTTGAGCACCTCAGCAAAGATGGTTAGAAAAGTGACTTCTCACTCCTCGGCAGATAGTGACCATGAGCTGGTCCAGATCACAGGGATGGGTTCACGTCTCAGAGGTGGTGACCTCCCGGGCTGGTCCAGGTCACGTAACTCGGGATCGCTGCAACACAACCTTTCTGAAATATCCAACGGAGCAGTTAATTGCTTTATACACCACCCATTGTCTGTAGACCGAAGACGCGCCTTGTATCCTTTATATATTCTAAAGTTACAAGTCACACTCACGCGACATTTTCAGGCGGAAATGAACCAGCACTCCTTGGAGGTCCAGCCCACGTCCCACTGCTAGTGCCACTTTGGGACTGGGATATCCCTGCATCCTCCCGGGAGCAGCAGCGGACCTCTGGTACGTCACACGGGGGACGTGTCAGTGTGGGTGAGAGACATGTAGCGTGGAGGCTGTTCACGTGTCACTCCACATGTCACAGTAGTAGCAATCACCAATATTCTAAACTATTTCATATTAGCCTCCACTAAGTCAAGAGCTTAGAGTTAAGAGTTCCTTGAACAGATGCTACCTTTACAGGAGCTGTATAAAAATATGAAGTAACCTATAAGTAATAAGGTTTATAAACACACAAAGAATATATCCGGGCTGTGAATAGACAGTTGACAGTCTGAAGAAATACACAATGTTAATCCTCTTAACAAGTGTGTGTAGTAAATAAATACAACTGTTTTCCAAGAAGCATAAAAGATTGTCACTGTAATCCTAAATTTTAGAAAGGGTTCCAGTTCTCCAGTTTATAACACCCGCCAAATTAGTATAGTATCGGTTTTACGTCAATTGCTTGAGACTAAACTACGCGGCTTCCCTATTTGACCCGAGAAAGTAGATGTCATCATCTCAGGACATCTACCTCATACGGTAGATGAGGGTCCAACCTTATGACCCTTGACTCCAACCGCCGGTCGGAGGAGACCGGAATTGACTCCTCCAAAGACGCGTTCGTCAATTTTAACGTCAGGCCTATTCAAAATTGGTATTGTCTCAATTATAAGCTAATAATATTATATACTCGAATGTATTGAATAGTGAGCAGTCATGTTAGGTGATTAGGTTCTGTCCGCCAAACCCTCTGTTTATGAATGGATAACGATTTACACACAACTCAAATGATATTCGAACACTTCTCGAACAAGTTCATCGCTGACGACTTTTGTTTGAACCACAACATTGTAAATGCCAGCCCGTCCTCCAAACAAAGACCCAAAAGCGATTCCATGCACCCGCTAAATCCCCGTTTTATGAAGGAAAAACGGTTTACACACGACTCACAACTGATGACGTTCGAACACTTTCGGAACAAGTGTTTCACAGACGAATTTTGTTCGAACCTCAACGCTGTAAATGCTTCACCCACGTACTACTAATACAAATAATCGCCAACAGAACCTAAACACCTAACCTAACCTAACTTACGCATAACTTTACTTAGAAATTTAATATATAGTAATATTAAGTTATGAGAACAAACCAGTTTTTTAATACACGTATATTAAAACTGCTGAATATGTCGGGAGGGGGAGGGGACGGCCGCCGCTGTAACCAGCCTCGCCTGTGGACGGGTTGTTTCATTCATAAACAGGCGAGATGGCGACTGGATTACTGAGCATTTAGCCTTTGTTGATGATGAGTGGATGTTGTATTTAGTGATGACTGATTGTAGCTGCGTTCGAAGCTTTTCTTGGTAAATGAATCACTGACATGTTCACAGTGCACCACTGAGAATTATTCCCCGTCATTGTGTTAATACAAGTAATTGGCAAGACTTTATTTGACTCATGGAAGTTTATGTTATATTGGGATTCAGCTTCTGACCTCTAATTTTAGCGTGCTTTCGTTTTTCTTCAAGGCTTTTATGAGTCTCTCATAACAAGATCACTGTCTATATTCATTGATTCCAAAACATTACAGGTTCTGTGGGATTTAGCTGACCATAGAGTGTTGCTCATAACCCAAGATATTTGGGTTCTAGGACCCCGGGGACCCGGGAGTATCGACCCTGACAGTGATGAAGTTACAGTGACCATGTGTAGTGAAGCTGTGGCCATTGTGGCCATTCAGGCAAATGCCGAGTGCCTCAGCTAGTTCATTATCAAAGAAACACAATCGATTAGCTTTTTTGTCTTTTATATAACATGGCTTCCCAGCTGACAAGAACAGCACGAGTGACGTTTTCATCGTTTATTCGTTATTCTATCAACGTCAACGTCATTTGGCCAGATTTAGCCGGGGGCCCAAGTATAGTATGGTCCTGACTCGTACCGTCCATGCCAACACGTTAACTACATTCATACTGGTCGATCAAGTCCTGTCATTGGCTATCACAGAAACCCTTCTTCTCCCTGTCCCTGCATCCTGGCCTCGTGACGCTCTGGTCAAGATATCCGGATGACGCGACACTTCATCGGTGAAATCCGGATGCAGTTGAGAAAATTCTTTGTTGACAATATTTGGATTCAGTGACGTCCGTCCATAAGAGGTATTCTTGCTCAGGATACACAAGAGGGATGCGTCATTCCACTGACGCAGTGTTGTCAGTGTACACAGGTCTGCGTCATCCCACTGACACAGTGGTAGCAGTACATCGAAGAGCTGCGTCGTCCAGTTGACGCAGTATTTGTAGTGTAGTGGGTTGAGTTGCCTGCTACCTCAACCCACTGACACAGAGTTGGCAATATACACATGAATTGTGTCATCCCACTGACACAATGTTGTCAGTGTACTGAGGAGAGCTGCGTCATCTAGTTGATGCAGTATTTGTAGTGTATAAGAGAGAGTTGTGTCATTCCACTGACGCAATGTTGGTAGCGTCATCCCCTTGAGAGATCAAGAGGCCTCCATTCGGTTGACAACATTGGAAAAATATTTTTCCAACTAATTGTTGGTTTCCAAATTGTACGTTACTGTGGCGTGTTCGTTGGTGTGGTCCGTTCGTTAATGTTGTGCATGTGGCTGAGTTGTGTCCATTATGTTGTGAGTTGATGTGGTGTTTCCGTTGGTGTGTGTTCGTTACTCTTGTGCGCAGTGGCCGCTCTGAGCCGGTTTCCGTTGTAATTATTGTTCTGTGATGCTTTCATTTTAACTATTGCTGGGTGAAGTATTCATCACAATTACTGTCTTGTGCCCGTTGATATGGTGCACTAACTGTGCCACTTGTGTGGTGAGTGTGTGACACTTGTGGGGTGAGGGTGTGACACTTGTGGGGTGAGTGTGTGACACTTGTGGGGTGAGTGTGTGACACTTGTGGGGTGAGTGTGTGACACTTGTGGGGTGAGTGTGTGACACTTGTGGGGTGAGGGTGAGACACATGAGGTATGAGGTTGTTCCTTTAGGTGTGAGGTTGATCCTTGGGTGTGTGAGGATAGGATAGTGTTCCTGGCGGTGGTGTGATGTTAGGAGTGCTCCTTATACTCCTAACATCAGATTAAATCCCAGTGTTCCTGGTGGTAGTGCGAGGTTAGTGGTATGCCTTATACTCCTAATATCAGAGCAAAAAGTGTTCCTGGAGGTGGTGTGAGGAGGGTGCTACTAATCTTGAAAATTACTTGCGGAGAAACGTGCAGTTGATTGTAGACGTGACTCTGAGGGAGTCGCAGGCCCCTGCTCACCTGCCCATTGTCTGGGGCTTTGGGGAGAAGGTAATGAGCAGGTGAAGGAGTGTTGAGCTAGCTGGGATGTGAAGGGTGAGCATTGCCCAGTCGTGGCCATTTATCTGCTTATATCAACTTATTTGTGTGTGTGTGTGCGCGCTCGCCTATTTGTGCCTGCAGGATCGAGCATTAGCTCTTGGACCCCTTCTTTTGTAGCCGTCGGTTGTCTAAAGTATATGACTTGGCCTATTTCCCTATCATATCTACTTTTAAAATTCCGAATGGAGTTTGCTTCTGCTACCAGTTCCTTTAGTGCATTCCTTTTTCACACTACTCTTAGGCTAAATTAAAATGTTCTAACATCTCTATAACTCGTATGAGTCTCAAGCTTCCATCCATGCTCCTTGTTCTATTTGTATTCATTGTGAACATTTCCTCTATTTCTACTCTGTCAATTCCCATAAGTATTGCATACGTCTCTATCATGTCTGCCCAGGTTTAGTTCCTTCAGTCTCTCTTCATATCTCATCTCTCGCAATTCTATGACGACCCTCGTCGCAAACTTCTGAACCTTATCTAGCTTCCTTATGTGTTTCTTTAGGTGGAGGCTCCATGATGGGGCGGCATACTCTGAGATTGGTCTCACGTAGGCAGTGTACAGGGTTGTAAATGCCTCCTGATTTAGGTTACTGAATAATCTTCAAACTTTTGCTACTATATAGTATACTACTGACGTTATCCTATTTATATGAGCCTCCAGAGTTAGGTTTGGTATTGTGTCCACTCCCAAGTCTTTTTCTCGAGTCGTTACTGGGAGGTAGTTTCTCGTCATTGTGTACTGTCCCTTTGGTCTCCTGTCACTTGTTCCCATTTCCATCGTTTTACACTTGCTCGTATTGAACTCCAGTAGCCATATCTCCGACCATCTGTGCAACTTGTTCAAGTCCTCTTGAATAATCCTACAATCCTCATGTCACAACTCGTCTCATTAATTTGTCATCATTTGCAGACATTGACATATAACACTCAATTCCTGTAAATATGTATGTCATTTACGTATTTGAGAAATAGAATTGGTCCCGGCACCGATCCTTGAGGTACTCCACTTGTTACTGTTTGTTCTCCAGTCCGACTTTTCGCCCCTTACTGGTACTCTCTGGTTCCTGCCTGTTAGGTAACTCCTTACCCATGCTGCTTACTCCCGCCTGTCTCTCAAGTTTGTATAGTAATCTTTTGTGAGGTACTGTGTACTCACCTATTTGTGCTTGCGGGGATTGAGCTTTGGCTCTTTGATCCCGCCTCTCAACCGTGTCATTTAAGTTGCTGTGTGTGTACTCACCTAGTTGTGCTTGTGGGGGTTGAGCTCTGGCTCTTTGGTCCCGCATCTCAACCGTCAATCAACAGGTGTACAGATTCCTGAGCCTACTGGGCTCTTATCATATCTACATTTGAAACTGTGTACGAAGTCTGCGTCCACCACATCACTGCCTAATGCATTCAACATCACACACGTGTGTGTGTGTGTGTGTGTGTATGTAAATCACGTAAGAAATTAACACGTGTACGAATGTGTGTACCTTCGCCAACCAACCGTACACAGGTGTTGCAGTACACAGATGACTGAACAGCAAGCTTGCAGCTGTGTCATTTCAATATATTTTCGGGTGTTTTGTGTGCAGGTGTGATCATATATACTGCTGTGCGAGCACCCGCTTGGTGATGTTCATGTGTTCAACATAGTATGCGTGTGTTTCCGGTGTTTACATGCGCTTGGCGATGAATAGCCTATACGGCAGTGTTTTCCTTTTGTCTGACGTTGATTATGCGTATCTGGCAATGTGCTATTTGCTGTAGAGTTTAGTTCAGCGCCAGGTCACCTGTTGCTGGAGTCGTATCATATCCGCAACTGCTTGCTCGGGGGATTACTGGGTGTGACTTTATGAGGTCTTAGTTCGCCTTTGTAGGTGAGTTAAGATTCATTGGTCACTCAAAGATTAGGCTTTGTTGATAACATATCACATGCCGAAGAATGTCTCGCAGGTGGCTCGTGTTTACGTGTATCAGCTGAAAATCTTCGTGTGGTCAGTGAGGTTTACGCAGTTTTCATGATGCCAGGCGACAGCTGTGTGCAGGTGTTTATGTGTATCGTGAATGGTTGTATCCAGGGAGGGCGTCGCCCCACGACCCTCAGCCAGACTCCGGCAGTCGCCCCGCATAAATCACGCTTACTGACCTCCCTCCCCCATCAACCCCCTCCCAAACCCCCCACCACCAGCTCTCACTCCACTGCCAGTCTCCGCTCGCCACCCGCTTCCCGCCTTCTGCTGCTCGCCACTCGTTTCCCGCCTTCTGGTGCTCGCCACCCGCTTCCCGCCTTCTGCTGCTCGCCACCCGCTTCCCGCCTTCTGCCGCTCGCCATCCGCTTCCCGCCTTCTGCCGCTCGCCACCCGCTTCCCGCCTTCTGCCGCTCGCCACCCGCTTCCCGCCTTCTGCTGCTCGCCACCCGCTTCCCGCCTTCTGCCGCTCGCCACCCGCTTCCCGCCTTCTGCCGCTCGCCACCCGCTTCCCGCCGTCTGCCGCTCGCCACCCGCTTCCCGCCTTCTGCCGCTCTCCACCCGCCTTCTGCCGCTCGCCACCCGCTTCCCGCTTTCTGCTGCTCGTCACCCATCATTCCTCCCGCCGTTAGACACTATGGGCCGCCCGCCTCCAACCCTTGCCTAGGCATTGATCCCTGTAGCTATGATCTGGCATTCAGCTATCTGATAATTCTTTGGTCTGATCATTCTTGATGTTTCCTGTAGTGGATATAAAGCTTAAGTTTTTGCCTTGAAATTCAAATTGAAGTAAGTTTGTTTAGGCATAAGTAAAAACTTGTGGCATGGTTGTCACTTTCTGGTGGATGAGGTGTGTATGAGGGCCTGATGGCTAGCTGAGGATAGGCCGGGTAGGGATAGGTTTGAGGATATGTAGTGGTGAGAGATGCATTGTTTATGCGCTAATTACCCCAGACTTCCTTACACAAGGTTGCTGTGGGATGGCTGTTGTAGTTTTCATGCTTTGTGTCTGGCTTTGTCTGTGCTGGGATATGGTGCTTCTCTTGTTTTGTTTGTAGCACTACCTTGATTAACAGAGTTTTCTTCCATGCAACACGGATTATGCGGGAAAACCGTCACCGAAGGTCTCTTGTGCACCCGTTTCCCTGATAATGTGTTGTTTGGGCTGCCTGTCACTACTCCTCCATTCCTGTTTACTTGTAACTGTTGTTTCTTTGATACTGAAGACACGAAGGGCCTTAACCTGTCCCCTGACCTGTCCTGCACATTGCATTGCTTGCATGTTTGACACAGCCTGGACCATTTTACCATATTCGGATCCTTGTTTATAATGTCAACTAGTTCCTTTCTATCGTTGACCTGCGACTTCTGAGCCATTGTGTCCTTTCTTGCAGGTCGTTCAGTTCCCCCTTGTCTCGCTTGTGTTTACGTGCTCCTAGGCAGCTATGATTTCCAACTGAATTAACTACACAATTTGTAAATTGATGTTTTGTTCTTCCATTGGTGATCCTCGGTTTTAATACTCTTCGCCGCCTTCTTTTGTTTTTTTTCAGATTTGCTCCTCTATTTAAGATTGAATTTATCATTTTGCTAAGCAACTTGTATGGCAGTGTCTCCCTGTACCAGGTCCCAGTGGGTTGTGGCGTCACAATGGTCGTCTCTCCCAGCAAGCACTTGCTTGAATGTCTCCTCGTTATCACCATGTCTTGCGTCCACCTTCTTCCTCCTCCTCCTTCTCCTCCTCCTTCCTGCCTTTTGGGATATCTCGCATGTTTTCTTGTACGTATGTGTGTCTTGTTCTTTCTCTCTGTTGCTCCAGCGTTATTCCACTCCGTCTTCCTCCTCCTCCTCTTCTGACTTTGTATATCATCCCCTTCAGACACGCACCTTCACCTTCGGTAATTCCCACTCCGCTCCTTGCCCCTCCCCCTCCCTCTCTAGTCCCTCTCCCCTCACCCTCACTTCCCTCACCCCGTCACCTCACTCCCTTCTCCCAGGCGCGGCAGGTGAGTGAGGAACACTTTGCATGACATGTAATAGCCTGGTCAAATTCAGCTGCCAGGTAATTGTTGGTAGTAAGCTGAGAGAGGGATGGTTGGGGTGGGGTTGTTAGGTGGAAGGTGAGGGAGGGGTAGATCAGTGGGGGGAGTTGTCATGTTGTGGGAGAGGGAGGGGTAGATTAGTGGGGGAGTTGTCATGTAGGAAAGGGAGGGGTAGATCAGTGGGGGGTTGTCATGTTGTGGGAAAGGGAGGGGTAGATTAGTGAGGGGGTTGTCAGGGAATGAGAGAAGGACGGTGGTTATTAGCTAGTTAAAGGAAGAAGGGTAGGGAGGAAATATCAGGGAAAAAGTGCCAAGCCATCACGACTATATAGCACTGGAAGGGGTCAGGATAAGGATTTGGGATGAGACGGGGGGAAGGAATGGTGCCCAACCACTTGGACGGTTGGGGATTGAACGCCGACCTGCATGAAGCGAGACCGGTGGGAAGAGGTAGAGGCGGTGCAGGGAGGTAGAGGAGAGAGGAGGGGAGGAGGAAGCAGCAGTCTGCCCCATACTGTGAGCTGGCAACCCATCCTCCTGATTAGATAGTACGTTTTGTAACTATGTGCACCAGCGTACATAAATTGACGTAATGGGCAATTACTTAGAAGAATTGTGCACTAATCACTTTAGAGTGTCGGGAAAAGTAAAGCTACAATCAAAGTTGAATATTCCAAGGCCTAGTATAGCACATATATGTACTATATTAGGCCTCAGATAGCGTACCTGGGGAGGGTCTCGGGAGTTCTTTACTCCCAAGCCAGGCCCGGGGCCAGGCCCGACTTGTGATAGCTTGGTCCAACAGGCTGTTGCTTGGAGCGGCCCGCAGCCTCATATTTCCACTACAGCCTGGTTGGCCCGACACTTCTTGCAAGAACTTATCTAAGTGCCTCTTGAATACATCCACCGTCGTTCTGGCAATATTTCTAATGCTTGCTGGGAGGGTGTTGAACAGCTGTGGACCTCTGATGTTAAGACAGTGTTCTCTGATTGTGCCTATGGCACCTCTACTCCTCACTGGTTCTATTCTGCATTTCCTTCCGTACCTTTCGCTCCAGTATGTTGTTATTCTACTGTGCAAATTTGGGACCTGGCCTTCCACTATCTTCTATGTAAATATTATTTGATACCTTTCTCGTCTCCTTTCCAGAGCGTACATTTTGAGAGCTTTGAGACGGTTCCAATAATTCAGATTAGTTTAACGTGTATTAGGCCTAGGATGGTTAGGTTAGGGTTTTATTAGCACCATAAATACGAAAACTTTTCCCGTTTGTCCAAATTCAGTTCCAGCAACTTATACTTTCTTATTGTCCCTTCCGTCAATATATGAACAATGGTGCGCATCGTTACTATAAGTACTGTCTAAACAGGACGATGGGCTGAGAATTTGTGTTAACGATCGTTTACTTCGTTTCAGCAAATATGGTCCATTTATCACGTGGTTTTGTATGTTTAATAATTGTCAGTAGTGAAGGAAGGTGCTATACGTTCATCCTGCCTCCCACCGTTCCCCTTCTGCTCTCCCAGTGCTGCCCCTCCTCCATTACCTCTTGTCCCCTTATACCATTACCTCCCGACACTCCACCAATGCTTCCTTTTCCCCTCCACCATTACCTCTTGCTCGTCTTCTTCCAGACCGTGGAGAGCAACACCTCCCAGACTAGGACAACAGCTGCAGTACCAGGTATATACAACACCCTGTAGACTACGCATAACTCTCCTACATCACCCCCGGATCATAAATACAACACCCCCGGATGATAGATACAATAATGCCAGATGATAGATACAACACACATAGATGATAGATACAGTAATGCCAGATGATAGATACAACAGCCCCAGATGATAGATACAACAGCCCCAGATGATAGATACAATAATGCCAGATGATAGATACACCCTTAGATGATAGATATAATAATGCCAGATGATAGATACAACACCTTTAGATGATAGATACAATAATGCCAGATGATAGATACACCAGCCCCAGATGATAGATACAATAATGCCAGATGATAGATACAACACCCATTGATGATAGATACAATAATGCCAGATGATAGATACAACCGCCCCAGATGATAGATACAACAACCCCAGATGATAGATACAATAATGCCAGATGATAGATATAACAGCCCCAGATGATAGATACAATAATGCCAGATGATAGACACCAGAGCCCCAGACGATGGATGCGAGAGCCCGTGGGGCAGAAGGACTAGACCCCCATACACACCCTGGAGACGGGCTCACACAGGTCTCATCTCTCGCCTTGACCTGCGTGTAGAGGTGTTGTCGAGAGTGTTGAGTCGGCTGCACGCCTCGCCCGACGGTCGCCGCCCACTGCACACTCCTCCTTAAACGGCATAAAAACCCATTTATCCCTGTCGCATCTTGAGCAGGCGCTGCGCTGTTGTCCTGTCTCGCTTTGGACCACTTCTTCATCTCATATTTTGTCAAGAGTTTTATCTTACTACGGTTATATCACGGGGTTTGTTGGTTAATGTTTTAGTAGTTGTGGTGGGTAGGGTGTAGTATAGAAGGGATCCTTAACGTTGCGAGTGAGGCCTCCCAGCTGCTGCCACCCAGCCTGAGTCACAGCTCCTACACACACCCACATAACCAATACCTACATCTTGAAGCTCCCGGAGTTTGATCATCACAGGACAGACAACGCCTTATGGGTTAAAAATGGTCAGGTTACCAAAAGATTTCCTGCTGCGTGGGCGGATTTCATGGTAAAGAATTATATATATATATATATGCGAACAAGCCTGAATGGTCCCCAGGACTATATGCGAATGAAAACTCACACCCCAGAAGTGACTCGAACCCATACTCCCAGGAGCAACGCAACTGGTAACTACAGGGCGCCTTAATCCACTTGACCATCACGGCCGTCAAAAGGAAGTGATAGCCGAGGCTATTTGAGTTACCAGTTGCGTTGCTCCTGGGAGTATGGGTTCGAGTCACTTCTGGGGTGTGAGTTTTCATTCGCATATAGTCCTGGGGACCATTCAGGCTTGTTCGCATTTGTGTTCCTCACGTGTGCCCCAAAGAATGAGGTGATTTGGTGAAATGCTATGCCCAAGATTACCATCCGAGTTGCCGTCGGGGAAGTGGCTCAAATAGCCTCGGCTATCACTTCCTTTTGACGGCCGTGATGGTCAAGTGGATTAAGGCGCCCTGTAGTTACCAGTTGCGTTGCTCCTGGGAGTATGGGTTCGAGTCACTTCTGGGGTGTGAGTTTTCATTCATATATATATATATATATATATATATATATATATATATATATATATATATATATATATATATATATATATATATATATATATATATATATATATATATATATATATAATGGGTATCCAGCAGTGCCCGGGCTTTTGTCCGTTTCTCTATTCCTCCTCCCATTCATATTCTCTCCATTCTCCCTACTCTTCCATTTTCCTTCCCTCCCATTCTTCCATTTCGCCGTTCTCTCTCTCCAAGTGGGCAAGATATGTTCGAGTAACATTGAATTAATATTATCTACGTTGAATTAACATCAGCAACAGCCT